TAATTTCATGATCTATTTTGTTCAAAAAATTTATTAAAAATTTGTTCAGGTTATTCAGTGGCGCATTGATCATCTCGATTTCGAATCTTTATGTTGATGTGTTATGGGCATCCCTCTGGCAAAGAGGTTGTCGACTAGCAGATCTGAGATTATTAATGATAAGCAGTCACTGTTCAGATGTTACTTCAATTTTGTACTATATATATCGGTTTCGAGGAGTACCTAACTCTAATGAGTTGTTAGCTTAAGTGGTCTTATTCAGTAATTCTTGGATTTGAATCTATAAAATCATAACTTGTTTATATTCTTTCTTTTGAAAAATTCAAATAATTGACAGAGTTTTACTGTTTTTGCTTCCCTATAGATTGTAAATGAGACAATCCCTGCACTTCAAAAGCTCAAAAAGGCCGGAAAGATTCGTTTTGTTGGAATAACAGGTCTCCCTTTGGAGATTTTTACATATGTTCTTGATCGAGTACAGCCTGGTTCAGTAGATGTGGTCCTCTCGTATTGTCATTACAGCATCAATGATACAACTCTCGTAGATTTGTTGCCCTACCTTAAAAGCAAAGGTGTAGGAGTGATTACTGCCTCTCCACTGGCGATGGGCCTTCTTACTGAGAGTGGTCCACCAGAGTGGCACCCTGCGTCATCGGAACTCAAAGTAATATCTCCTTTCTGTTGTTCCTTAATTCACAATCAATATTAGAGAAGTAAGTCATTTAAGCTGCACGCTGTTGTGCAGACCTTACTTGTGCAGAGCTAAACTTTCTGCTGTAGAAGTAATGAAGAATGTATAAAAGTTTGTGCATATAAGTCCTTTCAGTTTCACACCTGCCCCCTTGTTAAAGATGCTCGAGAAATACCCTGATTTAGTATTTAAATATGCAAATACTTTTTCTTTAATTTAGTTCCTTTTAGTTCATGTTTTGTAAGAGTTTTTCCTGTTTCAACCATTTCTTTTGTAAGAGAAAATGAAGAATTGATTAACCTTCATTCTGTGGATAACATTTTTAGAACAGTAATGCCCTTTTAGTCTTTTTGTTCATGTCCATGTGAATCATGAGCATGGAGTTTTCCAAGTGCTACTGCTACATGGGGTTCGAGGGGTTCATTAGATCCGGACCCGACATGATGGGAGCAGCTTATACAATCCAGAGATCGCAGCTGATTCATTGCCCCTAAGCCAGATCTTATTTCCTTGCAAAACACATCTAGAGAAGCTAGGACCTACTTGATTCAATCAAATATGCATCTGAAGAAGGTTAAAAATCTGATTCTGATTCATATAGATCAAAATCCCACTATGATCCAATTTGAACTAGACAAGCAACTGTTTTGAATTGGTCAACATTCAAGAACTATAGCTGATCTAGCAGGTTACCTTTCATGCTGCACTAGGATTTGAAATTAATTGTTTTAGAGTTGTCATTTTTTTCTCCATCACTGGGTAACTTTTGATTCTTATCTGCTAAAAAATACAACACACTCTTACCATTTCTTAGCAAAAAATCCAGTCTTATTTGACGCAGCGAGGACAGCTAGTTTGACGGTCATAGCATTATCCTACAAAAAGAATTGTCTCTTAAGCTGTAGGTACTTTTATATGCGTTTTATTCTGTATAGGGACTAATTGTTCTATCTACATTTAGGCTGCCTGCAGGGCTGCTGCACTCCATTGTAAGGAGAAAGGGAAGAACATCTCAAAACTAGCTCTCCAGTACAGCCTGATGAATAGTGAAGTTGCTAGTGTGCTTGTCGGCATGAATTCTGTCAAACAGGTTTGTGATCTTTTTATATCCTGTCATCATTTGAGCAATGTGTGACTGCATATTTCCTGCCTTGAACTCTTCTCAAGCAATATTGTGTTAGCATCTCATCAATGGATTCCCTAGAGGATTACCTTTCAATAGTGGATAATCAATCATAATTAGGGAGGACGTAACTTTGTTCTCATCTAAGTTTGTCATGCTTTTTCTTCCATGAAATTTCCACTTATCAAGTGGTCATACTCTTCAAATGTCTCAGCTGGAAAATGAATCGTAAGGAGAGAGTTGATAATACAGCAAAAGTAATACAAAACACTATCAGAACTCATAAGATACGCGTAAAGATCGGAAAGAACTTTGTATCCAGCTGAGGTGCATCGAACTTCCAGATTTTCTTCTATCTATCTATGCCTTAGGTTAACTTATTATATGTGCCTATATTATATGCCTCATTATAGGTTTTGTGCCGTTAACATTGTTTGTTCCTTCGGACCATGTTGGTTTATTTTTAGTAATGTCCTTGTTGTCTTAATATATAATGTCCTTTAGCTTTAACTACTTCCTATGCAGGCTTAATCATCATGCCTGAAGAATATACATACTACAGTTGGTTGTCGTGGAGCTGACATTGGTGGGGCGGGGAAAAAAGGAAATGCACATGCAAAACCTGATGGGTTTAGGATGGATATTAAAGATTAAGACCTTGGGGACGAGGCATATTATGAATGAGGGTGTATTGATATATACCTAGGTAGTGCTATACCTGTGTGATATTGTGGAATTTCTTTCTGGTACATATTTTATAAAAAATGCTTGGAAGTAAGAAATCAGTTCTAAGAATTTGTCAAGTGACAAAAGCTTGTAACCATGGTAATTATTTTAGTATACAATAGATAGATAGATAGATAAATATGATAGATAGATAGATAGATAGGATAGACTCTAGATAACCTTCATGAACATTAAGGCAAATTCGGCCAATAACCTTCTAAGAGAAGTGTTAATAAATAAGATGTAATTAGATATGCTAGAATCTAGATAATCCTCATGAATAGTAAGCAAATTTGACCCATAACCTTTGTTTTCCCGCCAATAGAAGGACCGGGTGAAGTACTCATTTTATTCCTCTTTTGAAAAGAAAGCAAAATTTAGAAAGTTTTTGATTCTGAGGTGTTGTGGCGGTGGAAACCATCTTGTTCCCGTTGACCACATGAGGCGGTGGGGACGACCTTGTCCTTGTTGACCACATGAACAATGTTGCTAAATTGTGGAGTTCTCCTTAGTTGCTATTGTTATCGAGTTTGGAGGGAAGAGAGCTCGTTTAGGCGAAGAACCTAGATTCATCTATGAGGGCTTGCCTCTATAGACAAGGTAATCTCTCAAGGAGTAGTAGTAACTCACGAGTAGTGAGGTGTTATTAAACAACAAGCTTTGTGAACAAAGTTAGTAGAAAGAACCAACAAAAGCCAAGGGAATGATAATGGAAATATTAAAGACGAGTTTATTGCACCATCACCGAGCAACAAGGGTGCTACAACTCAGCAGCAACATTAATTAAATAGAGAAGAATCTAGAGTTGTTCTTGAAATGGAGGCCAATGAGTTGTATTTATAGCTTGAAATCAATGGGTGTCATAGAGTTGCTTGGAGTCGCGAAGCTACATCATTGTACTAGCATTTAATACAGAACGATGCTATGCAGTCACTTTATCGTCTTGGACTTAGCAAAGTTAACGAGTGATGCAACAGCGTCGGAGCTCATTTAATGCAATATGGTCGGGTAACAGTTTTATTAGCTTCACGATCGATCACGGAGCTAATCCAACTCAGCAGCATAGCTTACTGTGCTTTAGCATATCTGTAGCATTTAATGCTCTAGATTTCAGCGCTGTTGCCGTTGATGTGACTTCTAACATGTCACCATTGGTATGGTTCATCTCCTAGGCTAGTCTAGCGAAGACTGCGGATCTTTCTTGTAGTGCGAGGTTAACTCTTGTGTGAGGCAAAAGTTGGAACGAGGTTACATTGCTATGCAGGAGTAACTACGATGTGAGACTAGGACTTGGGCAAGGTTATCAAGTCCGCATTACTTAGTTCCGCGACCATACTTGAATATAGGCGAAGTGAGCCAAATCTTAGCCTGTTTAACTTTGGACTTGGGGTTGCTTGTCCTTAGTCAACTCGTGGACCCTTGTGGTGTTCATGAAGTTCATTGATTGTGTTGAAATGACCAAATTGCCTCTAGCGGAGCACATGGTGATGATCTTATTTGACAGTATGCATTTTTTACCACCTATAACCTTCTAATCGGAGTGCTAATAAATAAGAGTGTAATTGAATAGTATTATTCATGAGCATATAATAGATAATATACGAGAGATAGATGGACACTGATAGGTAACCTAATACTAGTCTACGCCCGAATATGTACTAACTTTTAACACTCCCCCTCAAGTTGAAACATATATATCTATTATTCCTGGCTTGTTACACAAAGGAGAAAAATCTTGGAAGATAAAGCCTTGGTGAATACATCAATCAACTGTTCTGAAGAACGAATAAAACGGGTGCATATCAACTCATTATATCATCCTGCATAAAATGAAGCAACCTCAATATGTCTAATCCTTTGATGAAAAATTGGATTCATTCCTATGTACATGGTAGGCTGATTATCAGAATGCTTAAGCATGGGATCTGGTCAAAGAAAACCAAGTCTTTCGATCATCTTCAACCATATCATCTCACATGTAGCATGAGTCATTGCTTGATACTTAGCTTCTGCACTAGATAGCATCACATCTTACTTTTTACTCAACGTGATAAGATTGTCTCCAACAAATGTACAATATTTGGTCATGAACTTCATGTCTTCTCTATCTCCTGCATAACTTGAACCTGATGAGGTCAAAATGTGAATGTGTCCATGCTTTTTGTATAGTAAACTTTACTAAAGAGCTTTTGATGTAAGCTAAAATCCGTGTGACTCTCCAGTGAACCTCTCTAGGCTTATGCATGAATTGAATCACAACATCTTCGGCAAAAGATATATCTAAGCCAAATACAAGGCCATTTTACTATTAAATAAAATAATGTTCCAGTGACAGTAAGATATATCAACTTGTCAATCAGCCTAGTGTACTGTCTGGTATCCTCAAATAGTTCACCATTCTCTGCCAAACATTTAAATCTTTCTTCATGGGGGAACTCACGAGCTTGCTATCCAAAGGACCAATCTCTTCAAAAGAGCCAACGCGTAATTTCTTTGCGAGCGAATTAACCAATGTTTACGATAGACAACTTCAATCCTTAGAAGTATCTAGGTCAACCAATATTCTTAGTTATAAACTGGTGCTTGGGATGCTCCTTGGTTTTTTCTAAGCCAATCACATCGCTGCCCGTTAGTAGAATATCAACCTACACAATCAAAGCAATTCTCTTAGAAGTAGCCTGATGAATGAATACAAAATGATCTGAATGACACCTCTGAGATCCAATACCATCTATAACCCTGTTGAACTTGTCAAACCATATTTGTGGACTCTGCTCGAGCCCATATATCGCCTTCTTAAGCTTGTCCATAGCACTTTCCCCTTGAGCAACAAATCACAAAAGTTGCTCCATATAAATCTCCTAAAGATATCTATACAGAAAGACATTCTTTATATCCAACTGCAATATCAGCCATTCCAAATTAATATTAATAGAGAAGAGAATATGGAGTTGAGTCGAGCGACTAGAGAGAAAGTCTCAAAATAGTCGACCCTATATGTTTGAGTACAGCTTTTAGCAAAAAGCCTGACTTTATATCTATTTACTACACTATTTATTTTATATTTAACAGTAAATACCAAGTGACAACCGACATTGAATCCCGAGGGAGCAAGTACCAAGTCCTAAGTCCCTCGAGAAACAAAAGCATCCATCTCATCAATAGTCTGCTTTGAAGTTGAAACTAAAATTGATTCTTGATGAGTCATGGGTATAGAAATTAAAGACAAGGATAAGATAAACTAGTGAAAATATAGGACAAGACGATCATAAAAAACAAAAATGAAGTAAAATGGGCAGTAGTGGATCATTTAGTTTTTTTAAGACAATAGGAATATCGAGATCAGACTGAACGCAAAGTTGTTGATGTGTAGGACCTTAAGCTGCGGACGGAGGATGAGTGGAAGAAGAGATAGGTCCTGCTACCTCCGACCTTTTAGTATACACCAATATTGGCTTTGGCGATGTAGACTTTTCCTCCATTCCAGAACTTGACATAGGTTGAGAGAGGAATAGATGTTGCAATTTCTCCTTTACTCAATAGAGAAAAATATGGGACTGGCTAAAAGAAAGCAACGTCAACTGAAGTTATGTATTTGTAAGATTCTAGGTCAACATTGATATTTTGGAATACAAAGATACTTGATTGACCTAGGAGACAACTTATCCAAACATGGATGCATATCCTGAATTAAACAAGTACAACCAAAGATACGAGGAACTACAAGAAACATGTGTTTATCAGGATAAAGATAAGAAAAAGGGATATTCACATGAGAAATAGAAGACGACATATAGTTAGTCAAATGAGATGCACAAAAAATAGCATCAAACCATACATACTTAGGAACATGCTTGTGAATCATCAAAGTCCTAGCGGCATCTAAAATGCGTATTTGTTTCCATACGACGATCCTATTTTATTGTGAGGTGTACGAACATGAAGTTTGGTGAATAATACCATTTGAAACAAAAAACTTGGGCACTTCACTTTTCATGTATTCAAGAGCATTATCATGCAACACATGAATAAAAGTAGAAAACTGAGTTTTTATTTCATTATAAAAAGTTGTATCACACTAGCAAATTGAGTTCTTTCTGTCCATAAATTCAACCATGTCATCCTCAAAAAATCATCCACGAAGATAATAAAAATACTGAAATTCACTCAGGGAAGGAAAACGACACGGACCCCAAACATCTAAACTAGTTCAAAGGCACATCTACTGTAACTATTGACTT